AATAGATATATTCTGTTTACGAATCTACTCTTCTCTCTTCTTTCACTCTCCGTCTCTTTCCAGAAATTCGAAGTTGTAGCAACCGTGCTCTCTCAATCGAAGTTTTCACTGAGGGATTTTGAGCTTTGAGGAAGAGAGTAGAAAAGCAATGGAGGAAGAATCGCTGAATGGAAACTCGATTCCGGCTAAAGAATTAGCGGTGGCTGCGGCGGCGGTGGCTCCGACTGAAGTTGATGAGGAAGAGCCGATGGTCGTACTTCCTCCACGTGGCAAACGCAAGCGTCCACTTCAGTTCGAGCAAGCTTATCTCGATTCGCTTCCTTCTGCTAATATGTAAGTACACGTCTTGTGCTTCGAACTTTTCATCATCCTATTGGGTTTAGGGTTTTATAGATGGTCTTGATTTAGTTTCTGCGAAAACTTTCGAAGAAATTGTTTCGCTCTCCAGTAACCGATTCCGAATAAGCTTGTAGCTTAGCTCACATTGCTGTGAGAATCTCGAATTAGAGACTTATGTGTTTAATTTTTTAATACGTTGGTCCTTATTATACCTTCGAATTGAGCTTATTGCTTTTGGAGGTTTTTTTTTTGGAATCCATGGGATTTGTAAGCTTGTGATATTGGTCTTGAAAAGTAGTTAAATCTTTTCACTTTTTCTTTCCTCAGGTATGAGAAAAGTTACATGCATCGAGATGTAGTTACACATGTTGCTGTTTCAGCAGCTGATTTCTTTATAAGTGGAAGCATGGACGGTAAAAAATTTCACATCATTTCAATTTTTTATTCGATTTCCAATTTCACTATAGTTGTGTATTATCCAAGCATGAAAGGATGTGTTATAGTCTCTTTTGTCTCGGTTAGTATTAGATTACAGTGAAATTTTTGTATCAGTCAATTCGTTTTAACATGTATTTTTGTATTCATATTCTAGGTCACTTGAAATTCTGGAAGAAAAAGGGTGTTGGTATTGAGTTTGCTAAGCATTTCCGTTCCCATCTCGGTCCAATTGAAGGTCTAGCGGTGAGTATCGCTAGTGATTTGTTGCATATGCTCAATTTTTTTGAATGATTAGCTTTGTGTAATCATGATGATAGTTGATGTTGGTTTCCACAGTTTTTTTGTGTTGGTATCTTGTTCTGTCATCAACCATGACTCATTTCAGCAATGCAGGTTAGCATTGATGGTTTGCTCTGCTGTACGATCTCGAACGATCATGCGGTGAAGATATATGATGTTGTCAACTACGACATGATGGCCATGATCCGTTTGCCATATATTCCTGGTGCTGTTGAGTGGGTCTACAAACAAGGAGATGTCAAAGCTAAACTTGCTATTAGTGACCGGAACTCATCGTTTGTGCACATCTATGATGCCCGTTCTGGTTCTAACGAACCCATTGCGTCAAAAGAGGTTTGTTTTTAATATTCTTCTTTCTTTTGTTGCCATTTCGTGACTCCTTATTTTCGCCAGTGCTTAACAGTTCTTGAATTTCTGTCGTTAAAATATGTGTAGATACATTCATGTCCGATTAAGGTCATGAAGTACACTCCTGTTTCTGACACAATGATCTCTGGTGACACAAAAGGAATCATTGAGTACTGGAGTCCAGCTACGCTGCAGTTTCCTGAGGATGAGTATGTCCTTGTCTCATTTCTTATCCAATATCTGTTTTTTCTTTCCATTTATGTGTCGTTGTTTGATTTCTGATATCCCTTATAAATATATTGGGCCATTTTTCAAGAGGAAGAGCATACCCGTTTACTCTGCTTGGTTAATGTAGTTAGATTTCATATTGATGAGAATATATTTGAAGATTCTGTAGTAGAAACACATTTGTTGCCAAACTTTTTTCAATGTGTGTCGATTTGACCATCCTCAGAGTTTGAATTTGGTTGATGGACTGCTTCCAATTATGCCTCACAGGTTAACCTTTTGCTTTGCTTGGTGTTTGTAGGGTAAACTTTAAACTGAAGAGTGATACAAATCTCTTTGAGATTTTGAAGTGCAAAACATCAATCTCTGCCATTGAGGTACTTGTGGCGTTTCGTATCTTTGTTTTGGCTATTATCCTTTTGCGCTACAATGTTTATGAAAAATTTAGTGCAAGTTATGGTCTCTAAATCTAGTCAACTTCTTTTCAGGTGAGTCCAGATGGTAAACAGTTTTCTGTGACATCTCCTGATCGTAGGATTCGCGTGTTCTGGTTTAGAACTGGTAAACTGAGGCGGGTATACGATGAGTCACTTGAGGTAAGGTTACATATTAAATTTTCCTTTCTTTACATCATGTTTTTATTTAACATGATCCTTGATTAATCATCTATTACAACGCCATTATTAGAATGCCCAAGAGCTGCAGAAGAGTGATACTCCACTGTACAGGCTTGAAGCAATTGACTTTGGTAGAAGAATGGCAGTTGAGAAGGAACTTGAAAAAACCGAGAGCGCTCCGCAGCCCAATGCAGTTTTCGATGAAAGCTCTAATTTCCTTATATATGCCACTCTTCTTGGAATCAAAGTAAGAATTCCTCTCTTCTGTTTGATATTTACTACCACAAACTTGCACTTCTGTCTGGACCCGATAAGTTTCGCGTCTCACATGAACATGATACAATCAACGAGTATAAAGAGACAAGCCTTTCACTACTGGCTAGTGTTTACTTGAGTAACCAAAATTTTATTACTTTTTATAACCATATGTTAAAAGTGGTGTAGAGAGAAAAAAGCTTGAGATTTCTCGGAAAGTTTTGATTTTTTTTAAGGGAGAGTGATCTACATTTCTAGAATCCTCAATTTCTGTGTTTCCAGCAGATTATATAAAAAAAGAATCGGTTTCTGGAGTCTGATCATATTAGAACTGTCCCATGCTTACTTAATAGAATCACAATTAGCAACTGACTAATTTTCTTGTCTATTTTTTTGTTGCCTAGATAATAAATTTACACACCAACACAGTTTCAAGGATCCTTGGGAAGGTGGAGAGTAGTGAAAGGTATCTGAGAGTTGCATTATATCAAGGTGATCAAGGAGGAAAGAAAGTTAGAAAAATCCCAGCAGCCGCAGCAAACGTAAACGAAAGCAAGGAGCCTCTAACTGATCCAACTATCATATGCTGCGCCTTCAAGAAACACAGGATCTATATGTTCAGGTACTCGACTCACACCGTGCTAAAAACGACTCATGTTTATGTTGCGTGACAAAAGAAATCTGTTTTCGCATCTTTAGTTAGAAAGACATCCTCTTATGTTTTCTCTAGATAACTTAGAGATTTATTCTCCCGTCTCTGAAATGTTTTCTTCTTACCCCCAAACTAAACCGAACTACTTATGGATTTTACTATGAACAAATTGGTTTCTGCAGTCGGAGAGAGCCAGAAGAACCTGAAGATGTAAGCCAAGGAAGGGATGTGTTCAACGAGAAGCCTGCTGCTGATGAACTTCTGTCTGTGTCAGACATTGGAAACTCAGCCACAACTTCTCTTCCAGAGACCGTGGTATGTTATTCATAACTCACCATGTTTGCAACTACTTTACATAGTCTGTGAACTCGATCTTTAACACGTAACTCTCTTAACTCTTTTTTGATAATAAAACTTGTCCAGATCATGCATACTACTATGGGTGACATGCACATAAAGCTTTACCCAGAAGAATGTCCCAAAACTGTGGAGAACTTCACAACACACTGTAGAAACGGATATTACGACAATCACCTTTTCCACCGTGTTATCCGAGGATTCATGGTACAGACTGGAGATCCTCTTGGGGATGGTACTGGAGGACAGTCAATTTGGGGCAGAGAATTCGAGGACGAGTTTCACAAAAGGTAAAACCATTTAGTTCTGTGCATCTCTACGTTTGAGTTTAACCATCCTTTAAAAGGCGAATTGAATGTAAACTAGTCTGTAATATTGTCGTTTCTTCTTCTTCTTCTTCCTTTCCTGCAGTCTACGGCATGACAGGCCGTTCACAGTGTCGATGGCAAACGCTGGTCAAAACACAAATGGTTCGCAGTTCTTTATCACAACGGTGGCTACACCTTGGCTAGACAATAAGCATACAGTTTTTGGAAGAGTTGTCAAGGGAATGGACGTCGTACAGGTAAATGATAGAAAAAAAACAAAAGAAGTTTTTTGCGTTTTTTTTTTCTGTTTAAATTAGTGTGTCTAACCATAATATCAATCAAATGAACAGGGTATAGAGAAAGTGAAGACGGACAAGAACGACAGGCCTTACCAAGATGTTAAGATTCTTAATGTCACTGTTCCTAAATCTTAGAGCTTCTTTGCTCTCGTCTCAAAGATATTGAACAAACCCTGTGATATGGATTTGGCCTTGCGAAACATATAATCCTCGCGATGAATCTGAATTTGGAAGCATCTTGAGATGGATCAAACTGCGGAATGTGTTTGTGCCCGAGTAGATGAGTTAGTGGCATCATCATCTTCTTAACATTGTTTTTAATTTTGCTAAACAACTTTGTGGCATCATACTTCAACAGCTTCTAGCACTATTTCAAACTCAGCTTCCTTTTCTTGTAATATTATTATCAAGTTTCATGGACTTGTTGTCTTATTGAATACCAATAAGTGAAGATTTCATAGTCCCATCTTTTTGTTTTGGTTTACAGATGGCCTTGAATCTACAATATCTCAAACTCACTTGGGTCTCAATATTGCTATTTGATGAAGCCTTTATACAACTAATTCTGTATATTAGTTACTTTTAACTCTTGCATGAGTTGTGTAAATTACAGGATCTTAACAGATTCATTTACTTGTCAAACAGGTGTACGCAGTATGAAACCATTCCAAAGATGATAGAACATTGCACAAGGAACAAATAATGAAAAACCAGAAAGATAGAAAAACGCTTCTCATTTCATAATCTAAGGAGTGTAAACAATGTGACTTGAGAACCTCTGATAACAACGAACTAAAATAGAGAACACAAAGAGAGCAAAAACAAGATCCAGTAAAAATCTTCCGCGGTTGAGAAAATCCTATTCGAAGAGACTGAATCCCATGTCCTGCATCAAAGTTGAATGATGTAACCAGCAGAGTCAGATATAGACGAGTAAAATCAAAAACAAACTCAACATGATAACAAAAACACGAAGAGGAAAACAATGCTTACATCATCGGACTCTTCTTTCTCTTCCTTCTTGGCTTCTTTCTTCTCTGCAGCTGCAGGAGCAGAGGAAGCACCACCGCCGCTTGATGGAGAAGAAGCCGCAACAGCCACACCGCCACCAGATGGCACAGAGGCCAACTTCTCCCTGCCGGAAGCAATCAGCTCGGTGATGTCTTTACCACTCACTTCTTTCAAAAGAAGCTCAATGCTCTCTGCATCAACATCAGCACCAACTACACAACAAACCAAAAACAAAACACAACACCATCGATTTCACAATCAATTCTTCTCCACTGCAACAACACCAAAAACCTTAAACATCAATTGACATTTTCAAGGTCACTGAATAAAATCTTAACCTCAAACTCCAGTAATCAATCTAAACTCTTAACACCAACAATAAAGGAAATGCAGAATAAGCAACACCATATCCTTAAATCATCTATACAGAAACAAGACGGGAACTTTAGGTAAACCCAACTAAATGCCTCTACTAATTGACATTTCCAAGATCACAAAACTTAAATTTTGATAAGCATTTGAAGAAAAACTATACCTTTACCTCCAGGGAATCAAAGCTAAACTATTAACAAGCAAATGCAGAATAGATTCGAGACTAATCTTTCAGACTTTGACAAAAATAGAGAACAAACAGAAATGAAATTACCAGCTCCAATGATATCCTTGATATTATCAGCGGATGGATTAGCGTTTCCGCCAAGAACAGCGAGGAGGAAAGCAGCGACAACCTTCATTTTTATCTAGTTTTGATACACAGAAATCAAAATTAGCAGAAATGGAATTAAATGTAGGAATGAAATCTAGAGACTATTGAAAGCAAGTGTACCAAGAAGATTTTGAGGAGCAGGAAGCTACAAGCTTTAGAGTGTTCGAAGAAGCGACAATGGCGGAAGAGGAAGAGCTCTATTATATATAGTTAGGGTTTTCTTCTCTCCTTCGTTAATCTACGTTTCCGGTTTTACCCTCAATTTTTGTTTTGGTTTTTAATCAAAATTGACCACCGGTATACAAAGCATTCAGTAATTATGAACCGGGAATAGTTCAACAAGTATTTGGATTGGCGAATAAATAAATTTCAGTATTGATTTGTTGCACAACTACTTTAGGCTTTAGCTTCCACCTTGTTATAATGCCAAATCTAACTTAATCAAGCTCATAGACAAAATTTCAATATCTTGATTTTCCAACTTCGAACGCTAAAGTGACATTTGAACGACTGCTTAAATAGGCTGTTTGTTTAAACACTAGCATTGCATAGTAAAAACTAAGAAGAACCAACAATACGATTGCAAAAGAATAATACATACTTAAAAAAATACCATACGTGTTGGAATTGAGAGATCATCATTATCAAATAAATAGCACATTCGACTAGAAAACACAGAACATTTGTTTTATTTTAAAAGAATACAAATAAAATATACCCTTCTATCATGGGGTGTCTTATTGGTAATACTAATACATGTGGAATTCAATAAAATGTGTATGTTCCTTCCTTGGATTGAGACCGTTTCACTCATGTTTGTCCTCATAGTCATGTGTAGAACCAATTAATCCATGTTTGGATAAGTATGGGTCCATCTAGTTCATCTTATACACTACAAGTGAGTTTCCACAATGTGGAGTCACAGAGGTACATTTCGGACTCCTTACCTCTTCCGGTTCCCAAATTAGGTCCATTTGATGTTCCTCCCTTGGATTGAGACCGTTTCACTCATGTTTGTCCTCATAGTCATGTGTAGAACCTATTAATCCATGTTTGGGTAAGTATGGGTCCATCTAGTTCATCTTATACACTACAAGTGAGTTTCCACAATGTGGAGTCACAGAGGTACATTTCGGACTCCTTACCTCTTCCGGTTCCCAAATTAGGTCCATTTGATGTTCCTCCCTTGGATTGAGACCATTTCACTCATGTTTGTCCTCATAGTCATGTGTAGAACCTATTAATCCATGTTTGGATAAGTATGGGTCCATCTAGTTCATCTTATACACTACAAGTGAGTTTCCACAATGTGGAGTCACAGAGGTACATTTCGGACTCCTTACCTCTTCCGGTTCCCAAATTAGGTCCATTTGATGTTCCTCCCTTGGATTGAGACCGTTTCACTCATGTTTGTCCTCATAGTCATGTGTAGAACCTATTAATCCATGTTTGGATAAGTATGGGTCCATCTAGTTCATCTTATACACTACAAGTGAGTTTCCACAATGTGGAGTCACAGAGGTACATTTCGGACTCCTTACCTCTTCCGGTTCCCAAATTAGGTCCATTTGATGTTCCTCCCTTGGATTGAGACCGTTTCACTCATGTTTGTCCTCATAGTATGTGTAGAACCTATTAATCCATGTTTGGATAAGTATGGGTCCATCTAGTTCATCTTATACACTACAAGTGAGTTTCCACAATGTGGAGTCACAGAGGTACATTTCGGACTCCTTACCTCTTCCGGTTCCCAAATTAGGTCCATTTGATTTTTCTCCCTTGTTCCTCCCTTGGATTGAGACCGTTTCACTCATGTTTGTCCTCATAGTCATGTGTAGAACCTATTAATCCATGTTTGGGTAAGTATGGGTCCATCTAGTTCATCTTATACACTACAAGTGAGTTTCCACAATGTGGAGTCACAGAGGTACATTTCGGACTCCTTACCTCTTCCGGTTCCCAAATTAGGTCCATTTGATGTTCCTCCCTTGGATTGAGACCGTTTCACTCATGTTTGTCCTCATAGTCATGTGTAGAACCTATTAATCCATGTTTGGGTAAGTATGGGTCCATCTAGTTCATCTTATACACTACAAGTGAGTTTCCACAATGTGGAGTCACAGAGGTACATTTCGGACTCCTTACCTCTTCCGGTTCCCAAATTAGGTCCATTTGATGTTCCTCCCTTGGATTGAGACCGTTTCACTCATGTTTGTCCTCATAGTCATGTGTAGAACCTATTAATCCATGTTTGGGTAAGTATGGGTCCATCTAGTTCATCTTATACACTACAAGTGAGTTTCCACAATGTGGAGTCACAGAGGTACATTTCGGACTCCTTACCTCTTCCGGTTCCCAAATTAGGTCCATTTGATGTTCCTCCCTTGGATTGAGACCGTTTCACTCATGTTTGTCCTCATAGTCATGTGTAGAACCTATTAATCCATGTTTGGGTAAGTATGGGTCCATCTAGTTCATCTTATACACTACAAGTGAGTTTCCACAATGTGGAGTCACAGAGGTACATTTCGGACTCCTTACCTCTTCCGGTTCCCAAATTAGGTCCATTTGATGTTCCTCCCTTGGATTGAGACCGTTTCACTCATGTTTGTCCTCATAGTCATGTGTAGAACCTATTAATCCATGTTTGGGTAAGTATGGGTCCATCTAGTTCATCTTATACACTACAAGTGAGTTTCCACAATGTGGAGTCACAGAGGTACATTTCGGACTCCTTACCTCTTCCGGTTCCCAAATTAGGTCCATTTGATGTTCCTCCCTTGGATTGAGACCGTTTCACTCATGTTTGTCCTCATAGTCATGTGTAGAACCTATTAATCCATGTTTGGGTAAGTATGGGTCCATCTAGTTCATCTTATACACTACAAGTGAGTTTCCACAATGTGGAGTCACAGAGGTACATTTCGGACTCCTTACCTCTTCCGGTTCCCAAATTAGGTCCATTTGATGTTCCTCCCTTGGATTGAGACCGTTTCACTCATGTTTGTCCTCATAGTCATGTGTAGAACCTATTAATCCATGTTTGGGTAAGTATGGGTCCATCTAGTTCATCTTATACACTACAAGTGAGTTTCCACAATGTGGAGTCACAGAGGTACATTTCGGACTCCTTACCTCTTCCGGTTCCCAAATTAGGTCCATTTGATGTTCCTCCCTTGGATTGAGACCGTTTCACTCATGTTTGTCCTCATAGTCATGTGTAGAACCTATTAATCCATGTTTGGGTAAGTATGGGTCCATCTAGTTCATCTTATACACTACAAGTGAGTTTCCACAATGTGGAGTCACAGAGGTACATTTCGGACTCCTTACCTCTTCCGGTTCCCAAATTAGGTCCATTTGATGTTCCTCCCTTGGATTGAGACCGTTTCACTCATGTTTGTCCTCATAGTCATGTGTAGAACCTATTAATCCATGTTTGGGTAAGTATGGGTCCATCTAGTTCATCTTATACACTACAAGTGAGTTTCCACAATGTGGAGTCACAGAGGTACATTTCGGACTCCTTACCTCTTCCGGTTCCCAAATTAGGTCCATTTGATGTTCCTCCCTTGGATTGAGACCGTTTCACTCATGTTTGTCCTCATAGTCATGTGTAGAACCTATTAATCCATGTTTGGGTAAGTATGGGTCCATCTAGTTCATCTTATACACTACAAGTGAGTTTCCACAATGTGGAGTCACAGAGGTACATTTCGGACTCCTTACCTCTTCCGGTTCCCAAATTAGGTCCATTTGATGTTCCTCCCTTGGATTGAGACCGTTTCACTCATGTTTGTCCTCATAGTCATGTGTAGAACCTATTAATCCATGTTTGGGTAAGTATGGGTCCATCTAGTTCATCTTATACACTACAAGTGAGTTTCCACAATGTGGAGTCACAGAGGTACATTTCGGACTCCTTACCTCTTCCGGTTCCCAAATTAGGTCCATTTGATGTTCCTCCCTTGGATTGAGACCGTTTCACTCATGTTTGTCCTCATAGTCATGTGTAGAACCTATTAATCCATGTTTGGGTAAGTATGGGTCCATCTAGTTCATCTTATACACTACAAGTGAGTTTCCACAATGTGGAGTCACAGAGGTACATTTCGGACTCCTTACCTCTTCCGGTTCCCAAATTTGGTCCATTTGATGTTCCTCCCTTGGATTGAGACCGTTTCACTCATGTTTGTCCTCATAGTCATGTGTAGAACCTATTAATCCATGTTTGGGTAAGTATGGGTCCATCTAGTTCATCTTATACACTACAAGTGAGTTTCCACAATGTGGAGTCACAGAGGTACATTTCGGACTCCTTACCTCTTCCGGTTCCCAAATTAGGTCCATTTGATGTTCCTCCCTTGGATTGAGACCGTTTCACTCATGTTTGTCCTCATAGTCATGTGTAGAACCTATTAATCCATGTTTGGGTAAGTATGGGTCCATCTAGTTCATCTTATACACTACAAGTGAGTTTCCACAATGTGGAGTCACAGAGGTACATTTCGGACTCCTTACCTCTTCCGGTTCCCAAATTAGGTCCATTTGATGTTCCTCCCTTGGATTGAGACCGTTTCACTCATGTTTGTCCTCATAGTCATGTGTAGAACCTATTAATCCATGTTTGGGTAAGTATGGGTCCATCTAGTTCATCTTATACACTACAAGTGAGTTTCCACAATGTGGAGTCACAGAGGTACATTTCGGACTCCTTACCTCTTCCGGTTCCCAAATTAGGTCCATTTGATGTTCCTCCCTTGGATTGAGACCGTTTCACTCATGTTTGTCCTCATAGTCATGTGTAGAACCTATTAATCCATGTTTGGGTAAGTATGGGTCCATCTAGTTCATCTTATACACTACAAGTGAGTTTCCACAATGTGGAGTCACAGAGGTACATTTCGGACTCCTTACCTCTTCCGGTTCCCAAATTTGGTCCATTTGATGTTCCTCCCTTGGATTGAGACCGTTTCACTCATGTTTGTCCTCATAGTCATGTGTAGAACCTATTAATCCATGTTTGGGTAAGTATGGGTCCATCTAGTTCATCTTATACACTACAAGTGAGTTTCCACAATGTGGAGTCACAGAGGTACATTTCGGACTCCTTACCTCTTCCGGTTCCCAAATTTGGTCCATTTGATGTTCCTCCCTTGGATTGAGACCGTTTCACTCATGTTTGTCCTCATAGTCATGTGTAGAACCTATTAATCCATGTTTGGGTAAGTATGGGTCCATCTAGTTCATCTTATACACTACAAGTGAGTTTCCACAATGTGGAGTCACAGAGGTACATTTCGGACTCCTTACCTCTTCCGGTTCCCAAATTAGGTCCATTTGATGTTCCTCCCTTGGATTGAGACCGTTTCACTCATGTTTGTCCTCATAGTGCATGTAGTATGAACTATTAATCCATGTTTGGGTAAGTATGGGTCCATCTAGTTCATCTTATACACTACAAGTGAGTTTCCACAATGTGGAGTCACAGAGGTACATTTCGGACTCCTTACCTCTTCCGGTTCCCAAATTAGGTCCATTTGATGTTCCTCCCTTGGATTGAGACCGTTTCACTCATGTTTGTCCTCATAGTCATGTGTAGAACCTATTAATCCATGTTTGGGTAAGTATGGGTCCATCTAGTTCATCTTATACACTACAAGTGAGTTTCCACAATGTGGAGTCACAGAGGTACATTTCGGACTCCTTACCTCTTCCGGTTCCCAAATTATTGGTCCATTTGATGTTTCTTGGATTGAGACCTTTCACTCATGTTTGTCCTCATAGTCATGTGGAGAACCATTCCAAAAGTAATGTAAGCCAAATATTGTATTTGAAATATTAAATTCAGATTCATAGATTTATCCAACAAATATATTTATAAAAATAGTCCCGCGCGTAGCGCGGGATAACTCCTAGTTATATCCTAAATTCATTTTAATGGTGTTTGTTAGGGAATAGTACATGACAAAGGAAATACCTACGGAGGTGTGTAAATTCGGTTTTTAAAAACTATGAATACGTAAGAAAAAACAGTTCAAAGACCACAAAGAACTGGATTAGGACTCGTGATAGTGCAGTCTCCTTGATTAATGAGAGGGGACATAAGAATGACTTACAAGACATTAAACAACATTAACGCATGGTGTTTCTGTTCTCATTCCCTCGTACTTCGGCAAGGTATTAATATGGTAACTAAAACAACATCATTATAATTAGCTACTAATGAACGCTTTGTATTAAAGGCAAAGTTTTGTTGGTGACCAAAATTTTGTTGTATTTTGTTGAAATTTTAGGATTTTGGTGGTATTTGAAAACAAGGCAGTTCAAAGATAAAGGAGATCCATGTTATTTTTCAATTCAAAGTTATGATATCACTATATCAGTATAATTGTACACATGTTTTCCAACATGGCATTAAGTTTTTCAGTAATTAAATGACAAACTCAGTCAATATATTATAAAATTTGAAATCAGAAAGAAATAACTTGGAGAAAATAGATAATAAAGCATAACATAAGTAAAATATATAAGCATAAAATTTGAAAAACATAAGCTATAGTCATTAAAAACATACTATAACAAAGAGTGGCAAAATAGAGATTAATACAAAGGCTACAAACCAAGTCAATTTTTTTCCGGTCAATGAATTTTTTTTAAGGAAGGGAATTGAGTTAGTCAAAGTGAAGTGTGCATTTTTAATTTCATTTATTGGGAAACAAATCAAAGAGACTCAATTAGTTGGCATATGAAGATTTTTGACAGGACTAACAAACCAAAGGGAAGAAAGAAGAATCAGATTTAAAAGAAATAA